GTCAGCCGTGCTTCAATCTATGAAGATCGTCATAGCAAAAGAATGAAAACATTAATTAATAATAGGGCCTAATAATAATATAAATAATAATAATAATAACATATGGTAACATCATTTGACAATGTTTTCTCGTTTATTATTTATTTGTGCGTGAAGGCGATATTCAGTCCGCATGAGCCAAACCAAACTTTTCATTACCAAAGTTGGGCAATGCTACCATGCATTTTTCTGAAAGCCCTTGGTGTGTAGATGCAGGGAAAAATATGTGATAGGCTTTGTCAGACGGTAAGCTTAAGGGGGGTCACGTAACTTTTAAAGTCAGTAATTTATGCAATTTGGCTGATTATTTATAGCTAAATGTTTTAAAAAATATGAATCTCGTTCTGATTGTCAAGGTAATTTCTGTCATCTCTTCCAAACTATTAGTTAAGTTTATGTGAGGTTTCCATCTTTGGCACAAAGGTTTTTGATTATGGGATGTTGATCAGCCGTGACAATAATATTATTTCTGCAAAATACGTAAAATATAGGAAAAAGTATCATTATATATTAACTGTCTGCTGTTGGGGCACTATGGTCTCTCATAGTGCCCGCCAACAGCAAGGCATTAAGTTTTTTTAGTGGGGTCATCACTATGGAACATGGGCCAATCTACTTTTCATGGGCGTATATACCGTTCTTTATACTCCCTAATTTGCCGGTGGCATTCGATGTAACAAACGTTCGACAGCAAACACAACCGCCATCGAAATTACTCTTGCGTGCGCCCAGAGCGCAGGAGATTCGGAACGTAACACAAATGCGTTATAATAACAATGCGTCGCGCAGCCGATAGGTGCCCGCCGCTCAGGCGGGCACTATCCCCTCATCAGTGCCTGCTGCGTTATCCAATTTTGTAATTGGCAGCGATTATGCACGTCAATGCACTAATATAACTTTAAATGATGCCAGCACGAAAATGACTTACTATCCCACTAAAAACAATAAATTAAGAATTTTGGATTTTATTGTTTAATAATCCTGACGCGTTTTTCTTTTGGTATTTTCGTGACATTTGTCAGATTTATATAACATTTTATAAACGGCGGGTGTAGTTTTTGGTCACGCCTGTGGCTAGAAACACGTAAAGAATTCTAAAAAACAGTGTATTTTTAATTATTACATTCATTTTACAATATAATTTAAAATTAAACTACTCTTGAGATGAGCAATTCTACTCTGACTAAGATATGCTAATTAAAATCTTTAGAAGAAACTGATCAATATTAGACACTCTAGCCACATTGTTTACTAAGCGCGTTCAGGTACTGAACTGTGACAGGACTGCAGGGAAGAAAGGAAGGAGGATAGAACGGGATGGAGTGAATGGAATGGGATGGATGGATGGATGGATGGATGGATGGATCGGATTGGATGGATGGATGGATGGATGGATGGATTTGATGGGATGATGGATGGAATGGATGGATGGATGGATGGATGGATGGATGGATGGATGGATGGATGGATGGATTGGATGATGGATGGATGGATGGATGGATGGATGGATGGAATGGGATGGATGGATGGATGGATGGGATTGGATGGAATTGGATGATGGATGGCTGGATGGATGGATGGAATGGAGATGGATGGATGGATGGAATGGATGGATGGATGGATTGATGGATGGATTATGGATGGATGGATGGATGGATGGATGGATGGATGGATGGATGTGGATTGGATGTGGATGGTGTGGATGGATGTGGAGTTGGAATGTGGATGATGTGGATGAATGTGGGATGAATGTGGATGGATGTGGAATGGTATTGATGGATGTGGATTGGATAGTGGAGGATGTGGATGGATGTGGATGGAATGTGGATGGATGATGGATGGATGTGGATGGAATGTGGATGGTATGTGGAGGATGTGGATGGATGTGGATAGATGTGGAATGGATGTGGATGGATGTGGATGTATGTGAGATGTCGGATGGATGTGGATGGATGTGGATGGATGTGGATGGATGTGGATGGATGTGGAGTGGATATGGATGGATGTGATGGATGTGGATTCGGATGTGATGGATGTAGGATGGAATGTGGCGATGGATGTTGGATGGATGTGGCAGGATGTGGATGGATGTTTGATGGGGATGTGGAATGGATGTGGATGGACTGGATTGGATGGATTCGATGGATGTGGATGGATAGGATGATGGGATGGATTGGAATGGGTGGATGGGTGGATGGATTGGTGATGGATGGCGTGGATGGATGGGTGGATGATGGGTGGATGGTGGATGGGTGGTGGGTGGGTTGGGTGGATGGATGGATGGGTCGATGGATCGATGGATTAATGGCTAGATGGATGGATGGATAAATTAATAGGATGGATGGATGGATGGATAAATTAATAGGATGGATGGATGGATAAATTAAAAGGATGGATGGATAAATTAAAAGGATGGATGGATAAATTAATAGATGGATGGATGGATGGATGGACGACGCGACGGACGGACGGAGGCACGACGGGCGGAGGGACCGGACGGACGGAGGACCAAAAAAGAAAATAATAATATAGGAAGTATAATATATGTATACAGTCTCTATATATTTCTAATGGGAGGACGGACGGACGATGGAAGGATGGTACGGACCGGAGAAGGGGATGGACGGACCAAATGGGATGAATGAACGGCGTGAATGAAAGCTCACGATAATATTGACGCATAAAGATTAACGAGGCAATTAACAGGCAATATCAACCAACAAATTGCTGTTTCAATTTATCGCACTGACAATAGTAAAATTACGCAGCAATCTTTGTCAAAAATTAATTGACTAGTCGCGACGTGAATGTTTTAACTATGCTATTGTATAACTGTGAAGAGCTCTTTACAAGTACGCTTAAAGCAGTCTTGAAATATTAGTAGTACGGGCAACAGTGGTTGAAATTTCGAACGAATTCATACGAAAATCAGACCGCAGGCAATTCCCGGAGCACCAAAGCTTCGTTGATAGTGCTGGTCTCTACGATAAGCAAGCAATAATTAATTATTCATGCGCCTTATCGTGCTTTTTTTTCAGATAAGTTTAATACACTTATTATCAGGAGTCGATTAAATAATATTGTTTCACTCCTGGTATTTCTATATGTACTTATGCAATAAACGATAACGCATATAAGCGCTATAGGATGCCATGATGCATATAACAACAACACACACACCAGCACACACACACACACACACAGCAGACACGCAGCGCGCGCGCGCGCACACACACACACAACATCACACAGCACAACACACACACACAACAACACACACAACACAACCCACACAACACACACGAACATCACACTAACACACACAAGCATACAGAGCACACACACACAGCCACACACACACACACAACACACACACACACCACACACACACACAACACACACACGTACACACAACACACACTACATCACACACACACACACACACACAACAGCGCGCGCGCGCGCGCGCGCTGTGTGTCAACCGCTCGTGACGTATACAGTGTATAATCTTGTAAAATAAATGTAATCATTGAAAAATACACGTTTTTAGAATTCTTTGTTTCTACCACAAGTTGACCAAAACTACTTCCGGTTTATAAAATGTTATATAAATCCTACAAATGTCGCGAAAATACAAAAGAAAACGGTCAGGATTATTAACAATAAAATCCAAAATTCTTAATTATTGTTTTTAGTGGGATATTAAGCCATTTTCGTGAATCATTTAAAGTATAATGATACTTTTCCTATAATTTTTACGTGATTTCGAGAAATAATATTATTGTCACGTGACTTCAACATCCCATAATCAAAAACTTTTGTTGCAAAAATGAACCTCACCATAAATCTAACTAATAGTTGAAGAGATGACAGAATTACCTTGCAATCAGAACGGGTTTTACTTTTTTAAAGATTTAGTATAAATCAGCCAAATTTGCATAAATTACTGACTTTAAAGTCACGTGACCCCCTTAAGCTACCGATCTGACAAGGCTATCACATATTTTATTGATCTACACAGCAAGGGCTTTCAGAAAATGTATGATAGCATTTGCCCCTCAACTTGGTAATGAAATGTCAATTTTGGGCTCTGGGCTCATGGACTAATAGAAGCGTTTTCAAGATTCAAGATTCAAGATACTTTATTAGTGCTAAACATTTTTGGTACAATTTATAATAATTAATACAATATTTGAATTCAAGAGGAAAACAGCAGAGTTATAATTCATTAAATTGTATAAACTGCACGGGTATGGCGAATGGGGGGTATCCCTATAGACCGAAGGTCCGATATAGACCGAAAGTCCGATAGACAGAATATTGCATAGTAACAGGAGCTAATAATGACAAATTTTTGTCATTATTAACGCTAATGACAAATTTTGTCCGATGGAAAGAATATTACATAGTAACAGGAGTTAATAATGACAAATTTTGTCATTATTAGCTCCTGATAGTAATAACACAGTTCTCTTGCGACACGTACACATGCACACGCATGGTTGCGCAACGGGTCGCTCTGCTGATTGCCGCGCGCGTGCGTGCGTGCGTGCGTGCGTGCGTGCGTGTGTGTGTGTGTGTGTGTGTGTGAGACAGATTGTCCCGTTGCGCAATCATGCGTGTACGCGAGTCGCGAGATCACTGTGTGAGTGGATGTCCGGATGCGTAGCCTGGAGGCTAGACGACCGGTTCCGGACGCGTATTCGAAAATGCATCTTTACACCTTGAACACATAACCTTCGGTCTATCGGACCTTCGGTCTGAAACCTTCGGGCTGAAACCGGCGAATGTACCATGCGGTCATCGAAGTCAGCCATCCCTAGGCCTTGATTAAGTAAACACTGTTAGAATATTTGCAAGTAAAAGATTTCAATTATTACCTTACTTTACATCCACATTACATTACAATACATTACATCCATATTACATTACATCACATTACATTAAATCATATTACATTACATTACATTAAAATATATTACAATACATTACGCTACGTTACAGTACATTACATTTGTACAAAATAATCACTCTTAATCAGTTCTTAAACAATTTTTACTTTTTATACTTAATTGTTAACAAGAAGTTGTCTATATAATTTCTTAAATAAATAAAATGAGTTAGTCTTTATTTCCATAGAAACAGCTTCCCAACATTTAACTCCTTTCAACTTTAGAGAAATCTGAGTGTGCTCTCGGGAGATGATAAGTTGAGCGTTTCAACGAGTTTCATATATATGCAAGTCACAAACCTTAGTAAAGAAGTAATTACATATGATAGCTAGGTAATCTGTTGTAATGATATTTGTGCATAAATTTACCTAGTTAAAAAATGTAAAGATCCTCTAATTTCAGTAATTTTAGATCAAAAAAGTATGGAGTCACGTGCTCTTGACGACTACCAATTTGGTAATGCCAAAGGCTATATATATTTTACTATTTTATGGTGAATTAAATCCACCGGATATATGTTACATTTAGGGCGCGAAGCCCAAGAAATCACAGCATACTGAAGATAAGGATATGCTAAAGCATAGTAAACTAATAATAGCGTGGTTCTGTCAATGTAGTGACAAAGTTTAGAAATGATACCTGCTACTTTTGACAGTTTTGATAAGACAAACTTCTTGTGGAAGTTCCATTTAAGATCATTATCAATAAAAACACCTAAATATTTGATAAAATTAGCTTGGTAAATTTGATTGTTGTTAATGTTGATGGTAAAATCACTTCTATTTATTCTCTTATTAGTTATAATCATATATTTAGTTTTAGAATAGTTTACCGAAAGTATGTTAGCAGCCATCAACGAATTAACTTTTTCCATCTTCTCGTTATAGCTTTTAATTCT